AAAACCTGATTTTATATTTTTTGTTGTCATGACCACAAAATAAAATGGGGAATGTCCACCTGTACTTGGCCAATGCCTTACCAAAAGAAGAATATGCTCGAAGAGGCAAAATCTCACTATATTGAAGCCTTGTCCATCTTCAACGAAGAGAATTCCAACAGAAATATGGAAAGTTGCCTAAAAGCTACAATGGGCTTAGGTAAAATCCTTTCACCATCAGACACAAGCAGTGAGGTACAATCACATGTGTCAAGGTTTATCTGCTTCCGTCCTAAGCCACCAAGTGTAAACGAAGTCGAGGAGATGTCCATAAACGATTCGGAATCCCCTGGTGCCTCTGAGTTTGATAGGAGAAATGTCGTAAACTCAAAACTTCTATCTGCTCCAAATGGTATTGTGAGATTAAAGGATACAGGTTGTGCCAAGACAGGTTTTACCATGGAAGTAACACGAAATGTGTCCGCAGGTAATTTAATTTCTGTAAAGGGTACTAGGGGCCTCTGCTACACATCACTTTCGTCGCTATTAGGCCAGCCCTTGGAGAGTCAAAAATACTACCTTTATTCTCTGATACACACGTATTTGCTTTATCCACCTCCTTTGAGATTGTTGATAAAGACAGAGCCGAGTTTAGCTTGTCAATTCGAAGAGATGAATAGAAGCACAATTGAGAGAATATAATAGTGATTTGCGCACTCTCTTGTACCTTCTTGGTTGTCCACAGTTTTCTACTGCATACCTGTGCTTTCTTTAGGAGATATATTGCTGATTGAAAAACCATGGGCCATGAGTATATGGAATTCGCGCATTAAGTACTGCTACTACTGTTGCAAAAGATGTCACAATCTTAAACCGTGTTCCGGCTGCCCACATGCAAGTACTTCTGCTGGATTAGATAAAATTCCAATCTTATTGCGAATCTACTCTCTTAATTCATATATAGGTGGGCTTCTGCAGCGTAGAATGTGAACAGAGTGCAAAGAATCGAGCCAAATTGTCAGAAGATGGGAATAAACACATTTTTGATTGTCAGGGTCGTTGTCCTTTCATTATTTTCAATGACACATGCGAACTGCCCCATTTGGCCTTCAACTGTCTCTCGAAGATCCCACCAAATAAGCTTCTGGACTACATCTGTTCTACTGGTTCTTACACTGTAAGTCCCCCCCCCCATTCAACCCTCTTTATCTCAATTAAAATTCTTTCATGTTTAATCGACTTATCTCTATTCATCTGGAAGAAAGGAAACGGTCATCAGGCCTTCCAAGAAACAGCCGTGACTCAACGTGTTCCCCCAACGGTTTTCGATCCTTCTGATTACTCATCAATCGCTTTTCTATTTACTGGTCCAGAAAAACGTCTACCTGGTTATCTGCTGGAATTAACTATAGCTGCTGTTTTTTTAACTTACTGTCTCCACGTGAGTTATTACTATTCTCTGTTTCTATCATTCCACAAAGGCGATGTGCATGTCAACATGAAGTAAACGAGTCGAAAATGTACACTAAATGACAATAGAGACACCTAGTATTGCCATATACTCATTTATCATTTGCTGGGAAAGGCGAAAAGAATAAGCGTATTGATTAACCTGGTTTTAACCCAATAAATTGATTTTCTATATTCAGCTCGGAGGGTACCCAATGAAATGGTTTAATGAAACCGACGCATTCTTCCGCGAGCCCTCGACCGTCAATCGACCTGACATTATTCCAGCAAGTTGGATTGCAGCCTGTATGCTTTACCATCTTCAAGCCGCAGAAATCAACGATTTTCATAATGTTGAGATTATAGCAGAAGAAGTGCTTTCAACTTCGCCAACATATGAAAAGTTTGGCATCTCTATTTATCCAACTATCTCTCTTATCAATCACTCCTGCGACCCCACAGCTTCTGCTCTAATGTCTGACAAGGGAATCATGATAATTTATGCCATGCAGTCCCTTTCTGCTGGAAGCGAGCTTTCCATAAAATATCATTCGTATTTCTACGAGCAATCGACGCAAGAAAGGCAGAAATGTCTTAAGTTTCAATATCATTTTCATTGTATCTGCGAAGCTTGCCTCCATGACTGGAATCAAAGGTCGTTGGAGGGACCGGAAAGACTTGTATGCCAAAAATGTGGAAATTTCTTCAGTGAAGACGCAAAAGAATGCCCAATGTGCGGATCAAAAGAATGTCTTCTGATGTTAAAGGACTTACGTAACCAACTACTTCCGCAATTAGACCGGTATCTGAAAAAGAACATTTGTACGCCTGAGGAATCAAATCTTGCAT